TTTTTATGGGAATATACTGCATTAAATGAAATGTGTTTGCAAAACAAGAATTCCTTCTCAAACCCACATTTATTCGTTCACTAGAGCGTGACCATTACTGTCTGTTTAGTAAATAAAATTAATTTGAATTCTTTTTAAATGAGAAAACAAATCAGTCATTAGGCCTAATGGAAGCTTTTCTCAGTCTCATGGGAACATGCTGCACACATTTCTAAAACGTTTCTTTTTCTTATGGCAAATTAATAGAAGCCACGTCCTGCTCCCCTGCTGTAAGTCAAGAGAGTAATCAAAGACATCCAGGCGATTCTGAGGTTTTCTGTGTTCTGGTGCTATTCTTTCTTGCAAGGAGTTAATCTTCAGGGCTTTATTGAGATGAGTTTCTTTCCAAATCAAAGCAGAGAGCATTCCTGGCTTGATCAGCCAATAGATCGTGCTTTTCAGCATCCTTTGTGTCTTTCTGATTGTCACTTCTGGTCAGAGCACCAAACTTGTGGCCATTGAAAAAAGGGGGTGATTAGCAAGGTATAACCCTGCCTCATAGGCTGCAAATTTGATTTCACACTGGAATCAGCACTGATTTGCTCCATTTCAGTTCAGTCTTGATGTGGGAGTAAGCTCTAGGGTTTGGGCATGCCCTGGAAAGGAGCTGGGGACTGGGGAAATAGCCTAATAAGGTAAGCTTGGGCTGGCTTTCCACAGCAGGCACCCACCTAAGAGTTACCATCCTGAACAACAGGCAGATTACTTGGAGAAAAAGACTTTTTAGGACACAGAAAATATGCAAAAAAACTTTGGGGTTTGGTTCATTCAGTGCAAAATATTGTATGTTTCATCCAGAAGAGGAAAGTGAAGACAATCTCTGTAGCATAAGCCTGAAGACAATGGTAGATGATGAGCATGAGGTAACTTCACACAATACGTGATGCTGACCTGACTTTGACCCAGAGAAAAGAACAGAGATATTCTGCTGACTACACACTTGGAGTTTGCACTGAAACTCCTCCTCTGTGGTAGAAGATGATGCTTTTGTTAGCACAATATGAAGGTTTATAAAGCGTCTTGCCATGAAATGCAGTCAGCTTTTCTTTCCAGCGTGTCATAAAATCATCATGGAAAGGAAAACAGAGTACCCCTAATGCACCAGATTATTGTTACACTGGTGTCTCCTGATACTGCACCAGAGTAACGTGATGGAGCAATAAAACTGGATCTTCATTTATCACACCTCTTTAGCTCTCTCCCATGCCCAGAGAGATTTGAAATGAATTAGCTTTTTCCCAGAAGATGTTACCCAATAGGTCAACTCTGCCAAGTTTTACTCAAGTGTTGGTTTTCTGAATATTCTTCAGTGTTCTTACCTAATCTACTGAGGAGGCTTTTAATTTCATTTGGTTTTGGAGTTTATTCTTCCATCTGCTTCTCGTTATACTGCTAAATCTCTAGGTGTGCGACATTCTATCAACCTCTTTTGTTAAAGTGGCACTCACACAGTCCGTGTGGGTTTGATACATCTCAGTCCAAAAGATGTCTAAAAGGGGTTTCTGATCCTGGGATTATATGTCTGGAGGGATATTTTGGGTTTGCTGTGTGTATCCTGTCCTCAAAGCAGCACTCTGAGTCTGATGGTGGATTTGTCTGACTCCAAGTTCCCCCATTTCTATTCCAAGCAGCCTTCTGGCAAACCAGTACCCAACTCAAAACATCCCTAAGCCATTCCCTGGTCTCTGCCCAAGCTATGAGCTGATTTTAAAATGTAAGAGGCTTAGTAAGAGACTGTTGTTTCTTGTACATTGTAATTCTGTTGGTGCTGCTGCCAGTCCCAAACCTGTCAAAGGTTTCTGTTGGACTCCTGGTTTTGAGGCTGTTGGATGCACTTGGCTCAAGTTATCAGTAATATTTCATAACCCCCAAGTGCAATGATTTCTCTTAAAAATGAAGACTGAGATACAAGCAGCCCTTCTCTCAGGCAGCCTTAGGAAAACACTAGTGAGGACTGGCTGCAACGACACTTTTCCCATCCGGTCCCTGAGGCATTGCCTCTCTCCAGGACTGCCAGCTCTGATTTTGAGAGAGCTCCAAGCACACTGAAGCAAATTATAAGTTTGAAGACAGCAAATTATAAGAGTTTTTTCTGTTTTCGTGCTGACATTCGACCCTGAATGCTGTATGAATGTCAATGCCATTCTTCCCAGTTTTACAGATACAGAAACTAATGTATACGGAGTGAAGTGACTCAGGCAGAGCCTCACAGCCTCAGGGGCAAATTCCTAAATCATGCCCTGGCATTTCAGCTATTCTCTGTTCATAACCATCTTGCTACTTCCATAGCAAATACTAATATAGCAACCAGCATTGCTCAGCTTTGCTGGTGGTGTGAGCAACCCTCTGGTTTCTTCATTCTGCTAATTTTCCCTGCACTCCAGAGGATCAGGCCAGTGATGGATGATGGTATAGATGGACTCGGCAACACACTTTGCCTTGCATTATGTGTCCCTGTGCTTCTGCAGAGCAAGCTACCAATGCTGTGTGCATGGGGCACCCTCCCTCTGTGTGAGCATTAATTATTACTGCTGCTTGAGAAATGATCTGTGAACCAAAACGGGGTTTTCTAATTCTGTCACTGGAGAAGAACTTCTGGCTAATCAACTGGGCGCAGATGGAGTTGGCAGAGATGACATAAAGGCCTGCACTAATTACTCCACATGTCTCAAGAACTGATAAGAGAGTTGATTTATGCCTGGAACAGCCTGATAATTCCGGAAATAATAGATATTGCATGACTTAATTAATCAGTGTAGACCTGATTGTGCAGTGATTTTTGAATTAATGGCCGTGGTATAGCGCAGGCGTATGGAAGGTGGGCTGCAGCCTGCTACTGTGAGAAGCCTAAATGTACCTACCAATGACCCAAGCCAAGGGTGAGGCTCTGGATACACCCTACATTTGTGTCTCATTATATCTGGTGAGTTCTAGCACTCTTACTCTAGTGGAACATGAGTGTTGCCACATATGATGGCATGAAGAAGGAAAATGGTGCATATGTGCACAGCAACAGCAGGTAGAAGCAAGAACTTCTCTAGGAATTGGTCCATCCTAGGAGTTCATGCTAAATAGTGGTATCAGGAGTAAGCAATGTCAAGGCCTGAGTATTTTTAGCTCAGGTTATTGCCCTGCCTGGAGTGCTTGGTCCTCAGGGCAGGTCTCTGAGCAGGGATTTAGCTGCTCCTCCTGCAGGACATTTTAGGGAGAAGTATTTGTGTACCGTAATACCACGTTCTAACAAATTAGTCCTGTTTTCAGCACCTTACGGCACAGATGACCCAACACATGACTAGATTTTGTCCTGCATGGATTGAGAACCTCTGCTGAAGCTGAGAAGCCTTTGCAAAGCTATAAGAGGGAGAGGACTGCGACCTGGATCTCATTTTTGAAGGATGCCAGCCCCAAAATCTTCAGTAATTTCAACACAGGGATTCTCATTCTAATCACCTCAAGTCTGCACTCTGGGTTGGGAGGGGAACCATGTCAATACTGTACTCTATTTAGTGTTATTTAAATAGGCTGCCTTGCTTGTACAAATACCAGGCTGATATTTACTGCTGGTGATGGGGGCTCAGCCACGTCCCTTAGAGATGCTATAGAAGGTCACCAAAGGTTGGAAGGACAGTTGAAATGCCCTGTCCTTTTGTATCCCCTGCCCTGCTGGTTGTTATATACAAATCCATTTCCTTACAGAAGCACTGTTTGACCTGTGGGGGTGACAGTGGTAGCAGAAAGTGATTTCTAAAGAGAATAAATAGTTTCTGCCTGGATTAAAACAAATATCTAATCTGCTTGCTTCTGTTTTGCGTATGAAGAGTCCTCTCTTTACAGTGCAGGTAGCTTGGACCAGATCCAATGCAGGAATAGGATCTGGGTGCTGTTCCTTGCTCCCCTCATCCAGCTGTACGGTCTCACCTTAGTCATTAGATCTCTGTGTATCTACTGAGCTCCCAAGCACCATGAGGCACAGTGATTTTCCTTTAGGTGTCTGACGAGGACAGAGCCCCAAGCTCCCTGTACTTGGCCCTACCATACTAAACTGTATTGCATCTACTGTGATTTGAGCATTATAAAGACTTCGCTGCATCTCTTTTGTTCAGTGCCTCCCTGTGCTTAGCAAAGCCATGAAATGGGTAGTCAGAAGGGGATTGAACTTGTTTAATTTCTGAAAATACAGTTTATATTCATGTCCATACTTACATTCAGAACCAATAAATATATACACAACAGCTTTCCAGGACTTCACAATCATCGTCACTTACATACTAATAAAGTGGTCACATTACATTTTATATGCAGTTTGGTTGTGACAGTATTATGAATACATGGAATCCTTCCAACAGTGTTTTCCTAGTCTTGCTTTTATATTCTTTTTTCTTGTGTTTGAAAGATTCCTGAACGCTATGAGTCTCTTACATGAGTTAAAGACAGTCAAACAATGTGAGTGTCTGACACAGCACTTTATAACCATGGCTCCTACACAATTTCAAGATCAGTGCTGTGGCCTTTTTTGTACGAAACTTCCTCTTAAGAAATAGTGTTTTTCTTTTAAGAGATCCCCTTGAAGACTTTCAAAGATATTATCTGAGCTGTTTTCTGCTTTGAGCTGATAGCAACAGTGCAAACTAGCCATAAACTCGGCTTAACAAGGTAGTTAAAACAGGTTTAGTGTTCTTTTGCATCGCTAAAGCAGTAGAGAGCTGAAAGCGTGTACCACTATATCAGTTCTCTAGAGTACAGAAAGTGGTAACACACATCTGCCTTAGCTAGAACACCATAAGAGTTTCACACAGCCCAGGACAGCCCATAACACTCTTAGCTGGCAAAGGGAGAGAAGTCTATGTACATTCATTTGAGCTTGTGGGTCTCCACGTTTTAGCTTTGCTATGTATTCATCTTTCCTTTCAGTCCACAAGTTCTCCAGGTTTAGAAGTGCTTCTCAGTACCCAACCATGCCCTTAGACCTTGCTAGTCTGCATATGTCCATTGAATTCAATATTTCTCTGGGTTAACATTGATTCCTGCAAGCGGCTGCTGTTCTCTTGCCTGTGTTCAATGGGGTCACCATCCTCTACACCATTGCCCTTGCGGAGGCAAAGGACTTTCTGAAAACTCTGCTTGAAGTTGTCAGAAAGAAATCCATAGAGAATGGGGTTGGCACAGCTGTTTGCATAGGACAGCACCACCACGAAGAAGTACACCCCCACCAACACGGGGTCTTCTGGCAGTATAAATATCAAATTGACAATGTTCATCATGTAAAACGGGAGCCAGCAAAACACAAAGACCACCACAATGATCACCACCATCCTGGTCACCTTCCTCTCTGATCTCCTGCGCCTCGTAGACCCAACTCGGATGCCTGAAGACTTGACTTTAATCACGATCAGCAAGTAGCAGAGACAGATCACCAACAAAGGACCAAAGAAACCAAGGACTGATGTGTAAATGATGAACGCTGCTGACCAGATGTTGACAGGCTCTGGCCAGTTCATGTTGCAGGTGTGAAAGTCTTCCTGCACATCCGAAAAGATGATGACTGGAAGCACCACCAAGAATGAGAATGTCCAGACAGTCACACTGATGAGCTTGGCCACCCTGGGACGTCTCCACTTGGTTGATTTGATGGGATGAACTACTGCCAGATAGCGGTCCATGCTCATCACAGTCAAACAAAATATACTAGTGAATTGGTTAATACCATCTACAGTCATCACCAGTCTGCACAAAAAGGAGCCAAAGGGCCAATAGGAGATGGCATTTTGGGTAGCCAGGAAGGGCAAACCCAGCATGAAGAGTACATCAGCAACAGCTAAATTCAAGATGTATATGTTGGTGACAGTTTTCATCTTGGCATAGCGCAAAACCACATAAATGACCAACGTGTTGCCACTGAGTCCAACTGCACATACAAGGAGGTAACAGATGGGAATCAGGACTTTGTGGATGTATTTGAACGAAGGCTGCTCCGGGAGCGTCCCATTCTCTGTCACATTGGCCAGCAGGGAGGAATTCACATCGCTGGAACTAGCTTCTGTGCTAACCGTGTTGGAAAAGTATAAAGGATCCATAATTTTTACTCCTCAGTTTTCTCTTTTAAGGCTAAGAGAGATTAAACTTCATGGACATCTTGTTCCTAGAAAGAAAAATAAAAAGGAAAGAGGAAGAAAAAGAGAGAAAGAGTGAATTCCAAGTAGACTAAGTTCTTACATTAAGACAGACATAATTTAACTTTCTAACTGAAGTCTGAACTCGTGTTTGAATGATGCAGTTGGCACATGTCATGAGATCAATGCCTGAAAAAGGAATTACACAAGAAAGCCCCAGTGCTCATCCCAGGATATGGTGGTGTCTACTTTTCACAAGCTGCATGCAGTGGGGTCAGGGCTGGATGTAACTGTGAAGATGGGGGGCTGTAACACAGCATGCACCCTGCCAGGAAAGCCAGAACCCAAACCCAAAGATAGTTCCCGGCTCTTCATATCTGAAGCTCCACTGAGATGTTTCACAGGTCTCCCTGTTTACATAGAAACAGTCTCAGTTTGATATATTCAAATACCACTTAACTGCCTGGCAGAACTGATTGAGAACCCCCAGGGAACATTGGCAGCTGTGTAGGTGAGGAAACAAACCCCTCCATAACCCTAATAAAAAGCACCAGTGAACTCCAAAATTGAAAGGACCATGTCTGGGAACACTTCTCCATCAGGTCAGGCCATGGGCACGCAGCTGTGAAGACTGCAGTGGAAAGGAACAAGCTGTTTCTTTTCCACCTCTCAAGACTGTTCTTCTGCTAGTGTTTCTGAATCACTCTCCTCTCACCCTGAAGTGTACTTTTTGTCTAAGGAACACCTTTCGTCTTCAAGAAATCCAGACCAGAGCGGGCAGCTTCAGGACACAGAGAGGTGAGCAGATTTGGTGATAGAATATGTTTTATTAGACAATCCGAGATGGTTGAAAATTTACAGCACTCTGTTTCTGTGGCATGCTTGATTCACAGGAATAATTTTACATTCTTTGTCTCGACGTGGTGTAAGTAGGTGTTTACAAAGCTTTCTGCTATGAAAAGTTGAAAGCATCTGCTGTAAAAGAGTGGAGATTGAAAACACCAATCTGGCCTGAGATCTTTCCCAAGTCTGGCCAGAAGACCACGGTGAAGGTGCTCAAGCAGGATCATAGAAATGGTTCTATGCCCAGCAACTTTTATTCCTATCACTTGATAGTTATGTTTCCATGATGATCTGGGGGCATGTGTCTGGATTCCAACTCACCCAGCCCACACTGCACCCATGCCTTTGAAGCACAAGCAAGATGCTGCATCATGTAAGACTTCTTGTTTCCAGGAGGAATGCAAACACCTCCACGGGCTGGTTACTGTGCTTTCTCTTCGGGTGAGAAAAACTGCAGTGGGTGAGAGTAGAAGTCCCTCCAGCTACCAGTAGTAATCATAAATATGCTGTTCTGATTTGGAAATGTGCAGATGGGAAGTAGGTGTCTCACATGTAACTCCGTGGTTGGGAGGAGATGTACCAGAGAAATCAGAAATCCAGGGTGGCTGGGATGGAAAAGCTGAGAGAGCTGCCAAAGCTCAAAACAAATGCCGGCTTGAAGGTGGAGATGAGAAAGGGGCAGGAAAGTGAGGAAGAGGAGTTCTTTCATTTGGATACTGTCAAGTTTCTTCTCACCCTGAAGATAACCTACAGCACAAAATGCCTGCTTGCAAAGAGCCTCAAGCTCTTCCAGCCACCCACTGC